GCCGACGATTTCGCGCCGAGCTTCACCCAGAAGCCGCAACTAAGGCAGGAGGACGATGGGAACCGGCTGATCTTCGAGTGTCAACTGATCAGCGCGCCTAAACCCGAGATATCGTGGTATCGAGGCGAGACAGAACTCAGCGCAGATGCGAGGACCAATTTCAGGATGCAGAGCATCGGGACGAACAAGTTCCTGGTCGTTCTGGAGCTCGACGACGTTATCGAGACCGACGCTGGCCTGTACAAGGTCAAGGCCAAGAACAAGATGGGCGAGGTCGCGGCTTCGATCAACCTGAATTTCAGCCGTGAGTACCTGCCTCTCGTTGCTACTTTTTTTTTTTCTTTTCCTCCCTATCGTAAATTGCGTCACGTTGCGCAACGCGTTACACGCTACTTCGACGTTCGCTACTCGAAAGATTGTTCTTTTAATAGATACGTTCTTGACCCCTGAGACCCTTTCGGTCTCGGACTGTCCGTGTCCTTATAACCGAAATACCGTTCTCCTTTTATTACGTTTCACGTGTACCTAACGCTTCCTCTCTTCGTTTTCATACAATTCGAAAGATTCGAAATAAAGTTTCGTTATTTTCCAGCTGTCGACGAGCCTAGAGAGAAGTAAGTTCGACGATCGATTGCGTTTCGAAATGATGAACGTTTGTCGCTTCTCCAGGCTCTGTCTTTTATTTTTTTCTCTTCCTTTTTCATTTTTATTTCGCTGTTCTAACGCTTCTTGTGTTTCTCTTTCCTATGCGTTTCACGTACCATACGCTTCGCTTACCTCGCTTTCTGTTTCTTTTTTATGGTTTTAGCGGCGGAAGATCTCAGCAGAGAGGGGTGAGTGATCTGCTTGCTTTCAACGAGTACCAGCGAATGCTTGCGAGTGATTATAACCTACATTTAAGATTATAACCCACCGTTTGTCGGAATCGTGGCTCGTATCAGATAAAAGGAACTAACCAAAGACGGGATAAAAGATATCGGGCAAGATAGGAAGCAACCGCAACCAAACGAGCGGTTTCGTCGACAATGTTTAGGTGCACATCAAATGCGGCTAACTAATAATAATCGTCGCGGAATGCTCGCTATTTCTGGACGCGTTCACGTGCGCTCACGCGCTCGTCCGATAAGAGAAACCGACAGCTACGGCTGTTCTAGCTGGCTGATCGCTCAGTTTTCTTCTTCTGCCCACGCATACGAGTCTGACTGGTCGACGTGGAAATAGAATCGAGAACCTCTCCTCTATTTTCATTCTCGGTCTTTTAACCGACGACATTTGTTCGCGGACCGTCTGTCTATCTTCGATGCGTTGCCTGAACATCTTTTTTTTTTTTTTTTATTAAAAAGTATCTATGTACGCGCTCGTGGCAGCTTCGAAATATTTACGACCCTTGCCACGTCGAATTGTTTCAACCGATGCTTCCTCGCCGATACGATGATTCGGTTGCGAGAGATCGACAAGTAGTCGAAGTCGAGGAACGAGGAGACGGTCGATCGAAACGTGTCTTTTCACGTTCCAAACTCCGTTTGTACGATGATCGTTTGTACGTTTGTACGCGTCGATATCGCGTCTGTAAGCGTGTTGAGCGAGTGCACACGCAGTGACGCGTTACATCTCAGTGACATCGCTCGGGGAAATATTTTTGCACGATTATTTTTCGCTCGGCGAACGTTCTAAGGCAGGTAGAAATTGGGTCGAAAGTTGCTTCTTCGGGAACGTGACGAGGCGCTTGGCGAGATGTTATATTTTCGGATCCGTTCAACAGACGTGATTCCCGTGAATTTCTAAAAGTAACGCGAGCCTTTGACGCCCGTACCTTTCTAAATCCTTCTCCGATTCGAAAATCTACGTTTTCCCGC